TTTTCTTGGCTGTAATCTTTACGGAAGCAGATCTCTAGGCCTTTCTCCCATGGTACCACTGGGTAAATTTGAATAGACAACCTTGAGGTTAGTAGTCGAGTGCAAACCACGTGTACCACCTAGGGAGCTAATGCATGAGAAAGGGCTTCATCAAGTATAAAAATAGCTAAACTTTGGTTGTGGGAACAGGCTTTGCTCTCTTATGTCCTCACTTCCCTCCTTACTCATCTTAGATTCTGCTGTCTATCATGGTAATAAATCCCTTGAACCCACCTTCATCTCCCCTGCCCCTCTCTCTTCTCTATTTTTTCTGTACTAGACATATCTCAACCTTGGTTAGATCCAAACTCTCTAACAGCGCAACAACAACAACAACAGAAGAATGTGCTTGGTGTCTGAAAAGCAAGTTTAAACTGTGGTTCTATCATTTATTAGCTTTTGGGAAGTCAGTTAACATTTTTAAGACCCAGTTCCTCCTCTATGAAAGAAAATGATGATGCTACATCATCCTGTTATTGTGAAGATTAAATTCAATAACATTTGTAACAAGTCAGCCCAAGCCTGGCACACAGTAAGCATTCAACAAGTGGTAACTATTATTGTATTATAATCCATGAGAATATTTTTCTACGCTGAGAAAAACTATAACTAATTTAAAGACGTTCATTTCCAATCATGAATGTATGCTTTAATAGAATAATATTTTAAAATTTCGATTTAATAAATATTCTAATTGAAAAACTTTATTAAGAAGCCCTGATGGTGCAATGGTTAAGCACTCGGCTGCTAATCGAAAGGTTGGGATTTCAAACTCATCAGCCACTCGTGAGAGAAAATACCTGGTGATCTGTTCCTGTAAAGATTACCTGTTGCTATCGAGTAAATTCCAACTCATAGTGGCTTTATAGGACAGAGTAGAACTGCTTTATAGGGTTTCCAAGGCTATAATCTTCACAGGAGCAGACTGCCATATTTTACAGCTTAGGAAACCCTATAGGACAGTTCTACACTGTCCTATGGGGTCTCTATGAGTTGGAATCACTCGACGGCACACGACAACAACAACAACTTTATTGTTTTTAAACCTCTGTTCTTTTCTTCAATACCTTGAAAAGTCAAGAACTGTCTAATTATACTTTTGGCTTAGTCACAGCACAGTAAAGCAATTTTAAAAAGAAGATGAACACTGTGGTCTTAAATCTGTTCTGAATTTATATGAACCTGATACATGAGATATGCAAACATAAATACATAAATAGATAATACAGGTTCAGTTGGGAAAAACTTTCGTAATGAAATTACATGAATGATCCTAAAACCTGCCTTACACAGCTAGTTAGCTAAGTAGTATTTTCATCAAACCCTGTTATATGGCTCCACAGGCTTCAATGTTTACTCAGAACTAGAACACATAAGTAAAAACAGTAACACTCTTTTATAATGAGTTTCTGATTACAAAAGAAAAATTCACCTTAAACAAGTATAGTTCAAGGTATTTAAATAGTTCCCCATGATATTCTAAGGCCTTTCTGTTTTCCAGTGGTTGATAGTAAAACAATGAAATGTACCATGTGTTCCTTTGCATTACCATCCATCACCCAACAGCTGTAAAATCACCAGCTGCTGGGAAAAAGAACTAAATGAGTCCTCTACAGCTGCAAAGAGAAAAACCTTAAGGTCTCATTTTCACATAATTTCTGAAATCCCAGGAGGCTGAAATCGAAGTACAGTTTTTCTTGCCAGAAGACTCCTAGCCTTGTAGTATGTCAAATAGCACATAAGCTATGATTTATTTTTGTTGTTGTTGGGGAAGGATATGTGGGAGAAGGTAGCAAAGGTAGTTGAGATAATACAAAGTAAATATCATCTACTGTAAGTACTAGTGTCTACTCTATCCCAGGCACTGGCTATGATATTTTTTAATCCTCACAATAACCACGTAAAGTGTATATTCCCATAACTATTACATAAAGTAGGTATTAGCCTCATTTTGTTAGGAAACTAAGGTTCATTGATACTGAGTAACTTAGTTAATTCTGTCAAGAGTCAAATCCAGAGCTGTGTACTCCAATGCCAGAATTTTGATCATTGTGCTGTTCTGCCTTCCAGCAAAATGAGCAGATGAGGAAACACTGAACTGGTGAGGCATAAATGGAACGTATCTGGGGAGAGCAGGAACCATGGAGAAGGCAGTGCTGCTTTAAAAGACACAGGAGTATTTCCAGGTAAATGATGCTGTCGACTTGTGTCCCACTTCTTGCCTCTTCCTAATCCTTTCTCCCAAAGAAAGAAAATGACCCTAAAATCTTATATAGCTTAAGAAACAGACTAAGTATTATTTCATTAAATTCCTTCTCTATCATCAGCCATTAAAAATTCTAGCTCATAAATAAAATCAGATTTCATTAATTAATTACTTGTCCTAATAACAATACTACACAAATGTGGGAGGGAAATTGACCTTATGGCTATGTTCTTAATAAGGCAAACAAACAAAGAAAGCAAAGACCCCCCAAAACTATACTTTTAAAGTGCAATTTGCTTAACTAGGCAATTATGGGAATAAGAACATCACATTCAAAACAGGCAACTATTTCCAAATTTAATATCAACTCTTTACAATCTAGAAAAAAAAATACATAAAAATAAAATGCACCTAAGCTTAGGAGTGGGAGAAATCTGAATCTTTCACATCTCCAACTATAAGCCTCTATTGGCCCAAATGCTTTTGACTTTTTTAAAAAAAGAAGAGACAGCTAGGAATCTCATGGAACTGGATCCCTGGAAGCCAACAAAACCTTGGCCCCTTAGCCTGATTTTCACCCCGTGCCTGGCCCCAGTTCCAGGTTTGGCTTGGTGTGGCCTGGTTAAGGCACATGCTGTAGTTACAGCACTAGGGGCTACCATCCCTGTTCCTGAAGTTGAATTCAATATGAAAAATGCGTAGCAGGATGTCACAAAACTAGTATTATTTTAAAAGGAAATTGCTTTCAATTTTACAGCAGACTGAGATTAGTAAGGAAATGAGGTTTCCATTCCATGAGGTCTTCTAGGATGGAGATTTCTCATTCTAACATCCCTTTGAAGTGGAAAAACATTTACTGTAGAATCCCCTTCATTTGGTTATCCAGATGTGCTTATGGGCTGATAATTTTCTTGCTGGCAGAATGTTGTATGGAATAGTTGTATTTATGGCTTCTGCAAAAGTTTCTGTCAACTTTGGGTAATTATCCCTTGTTGAATTCAGGGAACTAATAGAAGCTTCTAGAATTTTCCCCTTAGCCTTAGAAGATGTTGCTAACTCTTTGAAAGTTTAAGTTCAGAGGTCTTACTAAAACAACAACAACAAACCCTAGAAACTATTGTTTTAAAATGCATACTCATGAAAGTTTTATGAGGACTCTGGTAATTTGGTATGGTTGATCAGAGCCATTCGAGTTGACAACTATTTATTGAGGGCCTACTCTGTGCCGTGTTATGCAGGCCTCTAGGCTTGTGTGTGTCCATTTGCTCAGAACTCTACCATGAAGTGGCCCTATAAGGCTTGGATTATGAAAGACAGTTGAGGGAACAGAAGGCCTGCCATACCCTTCTTTCACTGATTCCCTTAAAATATAATGGCAGAATTTATTAGCACTCTACCTCACATGAACTTTTGAGTTTACAGTCCAGTAGGTTGACATGTCTCTAGAATATCTAGACTGTTTTCTATCTGAATCATACCTGAATTCAATTTTAATTTAGATATACCAAATTATTCCAAACTTTATTTGAAGCAATGTTAGTCCAAAGATCCTTCAGTGTCTAGAAACCATTAGTTGTTTGTTGAATGAATGCTGCATTTTCTTCAACTCTGGGAGCCCCAGCCTCACTTCTGGAAGTAACAGCATTGTTTTCTATCTTTGTTAGTCTCTGGACTCTATCCTAGTCATTTTAGTTACCCCAGCAACTCAGCCAATACAAACTGTCCTGCTGGCTAACTGGTTCATGGTCTCAGCTGGCTCTATCCTACATCAGGGCTGGGAGAAAGAAGAAAGAATGTGAAATCTACCCTCTAGGTAATGCAGTAAGGATACTGTGAGGTCTTTTAAATTTAATTAATTTATTATTATTGTCAGCTTAGTAGTATCAGGGCAAAAATATAACATTAAAGAATTGGAATGCTCTCCTACTTTTTCCTTCTCCTTGCCTAATCCCCAACCATAATCTCTGGGTGCAACCCAACAAGGTCCTTGCTGGCAGTGCCTGTATCTTTTTTGAAAGATTAGGTGAAGACAGACAATGACACTAATTTTCATCAACTCCCTATTCCTACGTCACTATCATTCAATAAAACACCCACTGAGCACCTACTTCTGGCTCAGGTAATTCACTAGGCCCTGAAGTTACAAAGATCACAGTCACTGTCCTCAGGGATTTCATGGTCTTCTGGGGGACTCAGATAAGTAAAAATTCAGCAGAAAGCATAGGAAGATATGTGAACCCAGAGGAAAGAGTTTAGCTCTGCCTTAGGATGAAGGGGGCTTAGGCTACTCTTCAGTAAAGGAGAACTATCATTCGTTCTATTGGCTGGGCAGCAAAAGATACCAGGCATTAAATTGAGGCTCTTATTCTTTTTTCACTTTAAAATCTACTCAACAATGGTCCCCATTTACTGTCAAAACTGGCTTTTGTGAGATAATGCCACTAGCATGATTATGCCAACTTCTCACTACTGCTCACCTTACACTTAATATCTGAAGGTCAGGGCACTAAAAACCAGCATGGGTGTTTTCACTGAACGAGGAATCTGGTTATCATGTTTGACTATTTATAATTCTAAAATTGAGGATTAAAAAACAAGTTAACAGGCACTTCATAGGACGTAAATGGAGTCAGGAGAGTAGATCCGCAGAGGAAGAAACAAGAAGCACCGTGTTAGGCATACACCAACTCTAAGGGAACTAAGCTGAAGGGAATTTATGATTTGTTTTTCTTAGGTGAGGCCTTGCTTTACATACCACGTGGAATGCTCCTGGTGCCTTGATAGGTCTGAAGCCATCCACAGGTACGCACTGATCAGCGTGGCCATTACAGAAGCAGCTTCCCTTGACAATGAAATCATAGATTGCATAGTGTGTAAAATGCTGAGGCTTTGCATTCAGGTTATTTCTCTGACAGGGACAAGACTGTCGTTTTAGTAGCTGCACACGGAGGTTGGTGATCTTCAGCTGCTCCTGAACTTTGGCACTGTAAGGGTTCTCCACGTCATATGGTGGTGACAAAGCTCTGAAAATAACCTGTTTAAAAAAAAAAAAAAATACCGTGTATATAGGTATATAGGTCTGTATGCAAACCCTCAGTTGTTTGTCCAGTATAGTCCTGGTTTGACTTATACCTTTTATATACTGGAAGTGATAAGATAACAAGAGGTTTTTAGACCTTGATCACACCTGGGAAAATGCTGCCCTGTTACATCAAGGAGCAGCTGTGCTACCTGTTTGGCTACAGAAGAATTACAAACACAGTAACCAGCAGAGACCTGAATACTGAGATGAAGCTAGTATGCAACGATCTTGGGGAAGAGCATTCTGGGGCAGAAGGAACAGTAAGTATAAAGGCCTTGAAGCAGATTCAAGCTTGGCTTGTTCAAGGAAAAACAAGGCCAGAGTGACCAGATCCAGTATAAAAGGGGAGAGAGGTTAGAGAGGAGGACAGAGAGCCAGTACACCATAGATCAAGTATAGAGTCCTTTGAAGGTAACAGTAGAGTCATTCTAACTGTAGTAGAAGTCACTGAAAGGTTTTAGGCAGAGAAGTGGTATGATTTGATTCACTTTTTTTTTATTTTTAAAGATAACCTTTGCTTCTGTGAGGAAAATGGATTATAAAGAGTAAAGAATAGAAACAGAAGACCAGCTAGGAAGTGATTGCAAAATCAACATCCAGGAATTTATATTTCTAAATTAGGTTTGGTCATTTCAATACAGACACTTTGAAAGACTAATCAGTTATTAATTGGGGCTGCTACTGCTACAAATATTTTTTGGTACTTTCCTAGAACTGCCTTTCCAAGCTTGTGGCACATTTTGGAATATCCTTACTGGTAGTAAATATACAGCCTTTGAGGGTGGATTATTTCTGAAAATAGTAAAAAGTCACATAAAGCCAAAACTAGTGACCAAAGGAGTTGGTCAAGTTAGTTAACAGCACTTCTGGTCCAATGCAGGATGTAATGAGGCTTTTTATTGTGTAGGTTATATATAGACTCTAAAGGCAATTAAAACTTTAGCTCTGGGGTGGAAACAAAAGGGAAGAAGGTTCAGAAGGGACAGACTTTGGCTACTGGGAGGCCTTTGGGCCTGTGTGTGTGTTTTTACTGTATATGGGGTAGTGAGAAGGGCCTTGGGTGGGGTGGTACAAAACTCTTTAGCTGACTTGTTACTTGGGGGAGCAGGGGTTGGTGGAAGGAGGGAGGAAATCACTACCAGTGGAAACCAAGGAATATAAAAAAATAATTCCAAAATATATTGTAACATGAAACAGTGTTATAAGGAGGTCAACACTAAGTTACACTTTGGTATGCGTGTTTTTAAAAAGACAAAAAATAGATTAAAAAAACTCAAGCAATATCAGTTTCTATAGTAAGAAACACAAAGGTCCCCTGAGAAATTCTTAAGTATCTTTTGGCTTTTAAGGTGTATTAAAGCTCTATTAATAAAAACCTAGAAACATTGTTGGTAGCTAAGTAGTATGAAAATAAAGTAATTATAAAAAAGTAGGCTTTGGAGAAACTCCCACTTAGGGAGAATGTATCTTAAAGTAACTTTCCAGAAAAAAGCTCCTTTAAAGAATATTTTAGATATAAAAATTTCATTTTAGAAATCAGTTTTACACTAAAAGTATGAAAAGGCAAGAATCAACTTTGTAGGATCACATTTCCAGGTCCACGGTACAAAGCTGTCCTCAATGAAATATAACTTTGGGGAGAAAGGGTGATCATTCAATGGACACTTGGCCTCTTACAATCTATCCATCCAGTAACCAGAGTGATATTCTATAAACTCCCTTGCTTAAACCTACCATCCATCAAAAGACCTCCCATTTCTTTTAGATTAAATACAAAGTCCTCATAAGGACCCTGCCTTACTTTTGTTCTTAGTACTTATTACCACTGGACACACTATATTTGTAGTTGTTTATTGGTTTACTATCTTCCCAGTCTAGGATGTAAACTTCATGAGGGCAGGGACTTTGTTTTGGTCACTGCTGTGTCCCCAGCACCCAGGACAATACCTGGCATATAGGAGGTGAACCATAAAATTTTAGTGAAGGAATTGATAATTATAACACTGTTCTTTGCATTTGTGTAATAAATGAGATATTAAAATTTTTATTTATATTTTCACTTTTTACAAGGAAGTCCTTTCTTAATTTCAAATGACTTAACTTCCTTATATAGGGTCCTAAACAGATTCCTGTTTTAAAATCAGGAAAGGTGTGACAGGGTTGTATCTTTTCACGATACTTATTCAATCTGTACGCTCAGCAAATAATCCAAGAAGCTGGACTATATGAAGAAGAACGTGGCATCAGGATTGGAGGAAGACTCATTAACAACCTGCTATATGCAGATGACACAACCATGCTTGCTGAAAGCGAAAAGGACTTGAAGCACTTACTGATGAAGATCAAAGATTGCAGCCTTCAGTATGGATTACACCTCAACATGAAGAAAACAAAAATCAAAAAAAAAAAAAAAAGAAAAAAAAGTGAAGTTGAAAACAAAATTAAATAAGCAGAATTCAACATAAATGCTACTTTGCCCCTATCTTAGTAGGAGGATGGAGCCCTGGTAGCACAGTGGTTAAGAACTCAACTGCTAGCCAAAAGGTTAGCAGTTCGAATCCACCAGCCGCTCCTTCGAAACCCTATAGTGGCAGTTCTATTCTGTCCTATAGGGTTGCTATGAGTCAAAATAAACTCGATGGCAATGGGTTTTTTTCAATTATTATTATTTTTTATTTTAGTAGGAGGAAGATAGTATTTTTAAAAAAAACATGTTGCTTCATGTGTTTTATTAGGCAGAAGAGCAAAACTTAGGACTGTATTAGGAAGACACATCTATTACTAAATAATAAATCACTGTTCAGTCTATTAGAACTCTGTGGTTAAAATCAACCCATCAATATATTTATTGAATGCCTACTAAATGGAGAGTACTATATCTGTAAAGTATAGGAAGATAGATGACAAATTCTTATCCTCAAGAGGCTTATGATGAGCTCTCTAGTAATCACATAAATATAAGCATTAAAATCAGTGCAATAAACATCTAATTCCAGCATTAAAAAAAGGAAAAGAAAAATCCTCACAACTAGACCCAATAAGCAACATCATGATAAATGGAGAAAATATTGACGTTTTCAAGGATTTAATTTTACTTGTATCCACAATTAATGCCCATGGAAGCAGTAGTCAAGAAATCAAATGATGCATTGCATTGGGCAAATCTGCGGCAAAAGACCTCTTTCAAGTATTGAAAAGCAAAGATGTCATTTTGAAGACTAAGGGGCTCCAGACTCAACTGAAATTGGTATTCTCAATTGCCTTATATGCATGGGAAAGCTAGACAATGAATAAGGAAGACTGAAAAATTGATGCCTTTGAATTATCGTGTTGGTGAAGAGTATTGGATATACCATGGACTGCTAGAATGAACAAATCTGTCTTGGAAGAAGTACAGCCAGAAAGCAAAGATGGTGAGACTTCATCTCACATACTTTGGACATGTTATCAGGAGGGCAGTCCCTGGGGAAGGACATCATGCTTGGTAAAGTAGAGGGTCAGCAAAAAAGAAGAAGACCCTCAATGAGATGAACTGACACAGTGGCTGCAACAATAGGCTCAAGCATAGCAAGGATTGTGAGGATGGCATAGGACCGGGCAGTGTTTTGTTCTGTTGTGCATAGGGTCGCTATGAGTCGGAACCAACTCGATGGCACCTAACAATAACAAACAGATTCACATTCTGCATTTCACATTATAGAACCAGACAGTGAGGTGCAAGAACTTGCATTATAACAATAGTAATAAATAACGGAATAATTGACCAGTATTCGTATTTCTGGAATCCCTGGGTGGTGCAAACGGTTAATGCACTTGGTTCCTAATTGAAGGCTGGAGGTTTGAGTCTACCAGAAGCTCTTTGGAAGTCATTAAAAATCCCATGGAGCACATTCTGCTCTGACACACATGGGGTTGGCATGAGTCAGAATTGACTTGAAGACAACCGATTTTGTTTAAATTTCTACCTATTTTTTAACTTGCAAATCTTAGAAAAAGTTGTATCTTAAACTCAAACGATAATCTGCCCCATTTACCTACATGTAAAATGGTGGGGGAAAAAAACATATTCTGTTAGATAATCCTGAAGAATAAAATAAATGATGTGGCTACCTCCTATTTTATCAAACACAGTAAAGCAAGGACACGGGACAGGATAGCTAGTGCTAACTAAATAAGTATTCCACTGTAAAGTCTATGGTGTATTTCTCTATGTTGTCTGCCCACCCTTCCTTTTCCTGAACATTGGTAGCAACTGTTTGCTCTCTCTGTTCCTGTCTTGACATTTACCCTAGTTCCCTCTCCCTCCCCATCCTACCCCCGCCCTGGCCCAGAGAAATGTTCAGCGTATGCAAGGCCAGAGGAAGATCTGTCAAGGTTTGTAGGAATTTAGAAGCTCTTTTGATCCTGAACCCAGACGGTGGAAGCTGAATGGCGACTCTGTGCTTGGTGTGCATGACACCACAGTTGGCACGCTGGTATCAGCAGGGAAGGGACAGCATGACCCCTGAGGCTGCATGCTGGAAAGGAGACAGTAGAGTGCTACAGACACAAAAGTGAACGGGAATTTAAACCATGAAATCTTTTCTCCAGAAAGGAGACGCCTTAATCTGATACCCTGGGAAATGGATCTACCCTGCATCCGGAAACAAAGAGTACGCCAATCCAGATGCTTCAAACTTCTGGCAGGTCGCCCTTTGGGTCCCACCCAGTTTTTCCTCATACTTCCCAGAAGCAGCCTGCATGGCACTAAAATGAAGTAAGAAAAGGTGCAGAAGCCCTCCATGTAATTTCAGCCGTTTCCATCGCTGTTCTAGTACGAAACACCATTTATCTATGGGCCTATTACTGTTCCTCTGTCTGTGATTGCTTCTAAATATACATTTCCAACAAGATGTATTTAAAAAGCCAGAGGGTGACTAGGATCAAGCTTATTTTGATATTTCCAGCTTGTT